GGCCATCTTCTACTGCTTTCCCAGGCCATAGCAGAGAGCTGGATTGGAAGTGGAACAGCCGGGACTCGAACCGGCACCCATATGGCCTACACCACAGCGCTGGCCCCGATTTGATGGTAATTTAACTTGCTTCAAACAGTGTCTGCCGGTTTCTCCACTGTCAAGTTATTATCTTCTTCTTTATACTGTTAACTATTTTGGGGGGAATACTTTGAGACTATGTAAATTTTCTATTTCTCATCACATTTTACCTACTAGCTTTAGCATCCATTGATGATTTTTAATTGTGTCAGTTATTACTAATAGTGGATGGTAAAATTTTAATTCCATCCTACTGAATGTATTAGTTGACATTCTACTTTAAAGATTTTTCCCTTCTTTCCCACTAACTTATCACATATTGAGTCTATCAGTGTACACCTTTCTTTTTATTTATTTTTGGGGGGGGGGGTAAGTTTACTTTCATCTACTTGAAAGGTTTAGCAGCAGAAAAGAGACAGAAAGGGAGGTCTTCCAGTTGTTGTTTCATTCCCCAGTTGCCTTCAATTGCCAGGGCTGGGTCAGGCCAAAGCCAGGAGCCCAGAATGCCTTCCAGGTCTCCCACATGGGTGGCAGAGGCCTGAAGCACTTGAGCTATTGTCTGCTGCCTCCACAATGCATCAATAGAAAGCTGGATGACAAACAGAATGCCAATGTTCCATGCAGCAACTTAGTCTGCTGCACCACAATGCCACTCCAGAAGTAGGTGAAGACTTGAACTACTGTTATGGGATATAGGGTGCTGATGTGATAAATGGCATCTTCAGTGCTGTACCTCAGGCTTGGCTTTTTAAGCAATGTGCGTACTCTGGTGCTGCTGTTATTTATGTTGATGCTTAAGTTGTCCTTGATTTGGCCCATGGGAGCCCCTCAGGCTCCCTCCTATGTCCTTTGGGTATGCTGTCATTGTTTTTTGAGCTCTTCCTTACATTCTAGCCCAAAATGATGATCTAGGCTCTCCCATGTACTTCCCAACTGTGGCCCTGGAATCAGACATTTTTATTTATTTGAGAGACAGGACAGATGGAGAGCTGTCACCCACTGGTTTACTTCTCAAATGCTTGCAATGGCTGGACTAGGGCATCTGCATCAAAAGGGAGCTGGAGTCAGGAGGCTGAGCCAGGGATTGAATCCCAAGTGCTCTGGTGTGGGGCATGGGTGTCTTAATTACTAGGCTAAACACTCACTCCTGAAAGTATGAGTTTATGCTGATAATTCCAGTTATGATTGCTAATCCATATCAATGTATCAAGTTTAGTGAGTTTTTGTGTTTTGTTTTTCTGGTTTTTTTTTTTTTAAAGATCTGTTTATTTGAAAGGCAGAACTACAGGGAGAGCAAAAGAGGGGGGGGGGGGAGAGAGAGAGAGGTCTTCCATCTGGAGGCCCACTCCCCAAATGGCTGCAATAGCTAGGACTGGACTACGCCAAAGCCAGGAACCAGGAGCTTTCCTGTGGCCTCCCACGTGGGTACAGGAGCCCAAGCACTTGGGCCATCTTCTGCTGCTTTCCCAGGTGCACTAGCAGGAGCTGGATGGGAAGTAGAGCAACCAAGACTTGCAACCTGCAACCAAATGGGATGCTGGTGCTGCAGTCTGCAGTTTAACCTGCTACACCACAATGTCAGTCCTGAGGTCAGTTTTTGTGATCCACAGATTTTTTTTTTAATCTTTCATTTGTGAGTATATAGTTGATATTTAAAATTTACTTGGAAAGACTGATGGGAAGGAAGGAAATAAGGTGGAATTACTGTTTAATAAGTATAGAATTTCTGTTTAGACTGATGAAAAATTTTGAAAATAGATAATGGTAATGGTTATATATCATTGTGAATATAATCAATGACACTGAAAAGTTATATAGTGAATTTTGTGACCAGCGTTGTGGTACAGAAGGTGAAGTCATCACCTACAATGCCTACATCCCATCTGGGTGACAGTTCAAGTTCCACCTGCTCTGCTTCCAATCCTGCTCCCTGCTAGTGCACCTGGGAAGGCAGTGGAAGATGACCCAAGTGTTTGGGCCCCTGCCACCCACATGTGAGACGCGGATGAATCTCCTGGTTCCTGGCTTTGGCCTGGCCCTTGTGGACATCTGGGGAGTGAACCAGTAGATGGAAGATCGATCTCTGTCTTTCTCTCTGTGTAACTCTGCATTTCAAATAAATAAATAAATCTTTAAAAAATAAATAGCACATTTTATGTTTAATAGATTTTACCATAACACATGAAATTTACTTGGCTTACTTTATTTCCTCTCCAAATATAGTTAGGGTATTCATTTGAAATATGGTTAATCCATTTGTTTCCATTTGTATTAATTTTTAGGATTTTTTCCTACCCTGGTTGAGTTCTCAAACATCAGAAATATATGAAAAAGATGTATTTGAAGAAGCATCTGTCACGTCCTCGTTTTACCTACCTTGTTGCCCCTCCCCCATTCTTTCCTGCCGCTCCCAGATCATTGCTGTAGACGACCAATCTTATTGCTTTCTGGTTTATTCTCCTCATCTCTTTGAGATTTGTTTTCCCCTTTACTTCTGTATTTGACTGTGTTTCTAAAACAGGTACTTCTTTTTGTGCCTTATTCCTTCCCACACTGTCTTCACTCTCATCCAGATAGTCTTCCCTCTTTGCAAGGACAAACATGCACATATTCTCTCCTAATAGCAGATACCTTCCTTCACCTCCACCTTTTCTCGAAATGGAGGCTCTAGAGCTGAACACTCTTCCTAGATACTTGCCTTTGCATTGTTATTTCTGATTACTGATTGTCAGAGTTGTGAGTTTGAAATAACCCATTTAGGTCAAGTCTTCCCTGTGTCAATATATTTAAATGAGTTGGTCACATTAGCTATAACCAGCCGTTCCCTAATCTTTGTAAAACATCAGTGTATTTATTTGAGAGGGAGAGAAGGGGACAGATTGAGAGCACCCATCTGTTGGTTCACTTCCCCAAATGCACACAACAGCAGGGGTGGACCAGGCTTAATCTGAGAGCTGGGAACTCAATCCAGATTTCACATATGTGTGACAGGGATCCAGCTATTTGAGCCATCCCCTACTACCTGCCAAGGTGTGCATTGCCAGGAAGCTAGAATCGATAATAGAAACAGGACTTGAACCCAGGCACTCTGTTATGGGATGGGGACATCCCAGCCAGAATTCTTAACCTCCAGGCCAAACACCTGCCCCATTCTTCCTAATCTTGTACAAAGTGTTTCCTTCCCTTCTAAAGCAGTGGCATAACCTGAATCCCTCTGTCCCTCTGCTGTAGCTTTTTATTTTCTTCTTCCCACTTCTTTACTTTATTAAAATCCTTCCATTTTCCCCTTTACTTTTTAAAAATTCTAAACATAAAACTCTCTTTACTCACAATGTATAATAATCAAAGTAAAGTGTGGGCATTGCATTCATGAACATGGTTTAAAAATTGTGGCTTTGCTGCTTCATGGCTATATGGTGTTCTTTTTCTCTGTGAACTTCCTTATAAGTAAAACAAGGGTAATATTAATAATAAAATTTAATTGGAAAAATTAAATGTGATAACATATATATACAATAGAGCACATAGTAGATAGCCAATAAATGGTAATTTCCTTCCCATGTCTCCTTCTTAGTATGAATATTCATTTGAAATTCAGCACTTAGAACATGATGTCCACGTTCCAGTACTTGTCAGTCTAATATGAGCAGGGCATACACTCATGAATTGAATTGAAACCAGCATAAACTAACTTTTTATTGGAATTGTTTTAAATACCTTCTTAAGAGTGTTTTTAACTTCCGCTTCAAATGTTCTATTTATATAAGAGATATAAGTTGGTTAAGAAAATGATTATGAAACTGACTCTAAAGCAGTTTATTAACTGCTACTGTTAAAGGGGTTGCCAAGGAAAAATAAGTGACAAAGGGACTTCCAACTTTGTGCAAGTTGGTTTGCTCTGGAAGCCACTGTGAAGCTTTATTTACAAATTTTTGCTAGTGTGGGAGCAAACTTTTTGTGATCACAGAGTCAAGAATGGCTTTATCCCCACCGTGAGGAGACTGTGTAGCTCTTCTCTTTTTCTCTCTGTTTCCCTTCATTTTCTTTACCCACTTCTGCTGCTTATAGGGAAAGGAAGCATGAGATCAGAGAACAGAGTAGATGAAAATGCAATGTAAGACTTTCCTAGTGATAACTGCAAACTGTTTAGGCAAGATGAATTGACTGCCTGGGACTGAAACAGATAAGAGCCCCAGGAGTGTTTTGATGCTGAATCATCTGAAGTCTGAGAACAAACTTAAAGAAAAGGCTTTTCAATCCAAGCTAAAATTGGGGGTGATAAAGGGAATGTTAAGGATTAGGGAGGAAGATACCTGACTGTACCTTTTAGGTTATTAAAATTCTCTATAATTTTAATTGGCTACTTAAAAAGGAACATCAAAGTAATTTATAGAGTTGAAAAAGTGAAACATTGGAAACGTAGCAGTTTCAAAAGCTTTTATCTGCACTGTAGGCCAGTGGTTCTAGCCTGAGAAGCATTTTTTAAAAAATGGGGCTTTCCAGACCCTTGAATCCTTAAAGTGTCGATGTCACCTCTACTGTCATGGTGACAATGGCCCATCTGTCTTGTTTGGGTGCGTTACTTGCTTTCAGCCCTTTCACCTCTTACTCCCAACTCTTTCTGTTGGCTCTCTCCTGTGTCCTGCAAACATACTTAAATCTTTTGCATTCAAAATGTTTAAGGCCTTCCTTTAGCTATTCTTCTCTTGGCCAAGATCTGTACCCCTTCTTTGTTTTACTAACAGGCTTTCTGAAATACCGTTCTCTTGCTTTTGTTTTTTCTTTTCTTTAGTTTTATTCTAATCTTTTTAACCTTCCTTACTCTTTAATCTCTTCCTTCCTTCCTTCCTTCCTTCCTTCCTTCCTTCCTTCCTTCCTTCCCTCCCTCCCTCCCTCCCTCCCTCCCTCCCTCCCTCCTTTCTTTTTTCTTTTTTTTTGTAATTTTTATTTATTTCAAAGGCAAAGAGATAGAGAAGCAGAGAGCTCTCCCATCCACTAGTTCAACTAGCACAACACCTATAGCTGGACCAGGCCAAAGACAGGAGCGAGAAATCCAATCCAGGTCTCCCATGTTGTTGGCAGAGACCCAATGGCTGGAGCTGTCTTCTCATCAGCTTCCCAGGGTGCACATTAGCCAGAAACTGAAATAGAGAGCAAAGGTGAGACTGTAACCTAGGCACTCAGATATGGGATGTGGGCATCCCAAGCACCTGCTTAACTGTTGTACAAAATGCTCATCCCATAATTTTTCAACAGTAGTTTACAAAGAAGAACGTATAAGATGATTATGTGGCACACAGTAGAAAATATTTAACTTCTGTTTATTTTTCTCTAAATTTATTTTTTAAAGCCTTCATTCATATTTGATGCATTTATTTACATTTAATGTATTTAAATATTGATATTCCTTTTCATCAGTAACAGGCACAGATCACTAACATACATGATGTCTGCTGAAGAAGACAAGGAAGTGTGTAGTGTTAAGGGGTTGACTGTAGTCATTCACTTGTTTGCTTTCAGTCTGTAACAATGAGTAACAGCTTATACATGCATAGTCACGCGCACTTAGAGGTTGTGTAGATACCCTCATCAAATGGAAAAGTGTCTTTAAAAGATGCTATCCGAAAAGAGTTTGATTGGATATACTGTGCTAATTATAATGTAAGCACAGTTGAACAAGAAAATGGCAGAACTTACTTGTCTAATCTTGGTCCATGTTTGTGGTTAACCAATTTGTGCTTTTAAAATGATTATCTAATCTGATCTGATCTAACAAGGAATTAACCCTGGAATTAGAAATTCTCAATAAAACTCTGAATTATTCTTTTCTATATTGTTGGTATATAAAACTCTCTGAGATACATAGTGTACCTTGAGAGATTAACCCAGTAAAGGTGTAGGATTAATGAAGATACATTGATAGGAAAATTGAGGTATATATTTACCCAGTTTGGCTCCAGGAAACATGTGTAACCATTCTTGGGCATGGCTAATGTATACTACTCCTGTCTTCTCCTCAAGCCTTGACCTCTTTCTTGAGGTCCAGACTCGTGTGCTCAGTAGCTTGCTGCACAAACTCCACTTCAGAGTCATTACTTCCAAGACAGTCACTTATTTCTTCCATTGACCTGGTTCTCCCCTGTATCTGGATTTCGTTAAGTAGCGTCATGATGTGTCTTATTTCTCCCATCAAGCGCCTGGGGGTCCTTGTAAATGCTATTATCTCACCCTCTTCCCAGAAACTCTTCCTAATTCCTGTAATTCTGTCCTAAATGTTACATTTATATTCTTTTCCAATTTGATAGTCCTATTCTAATTTGAATTTCTGGTTTTACAGTTACTTACTCTTCCAGTTTAGTCTTCCTCCTTCCTCTGTTCTATCTTCCAGATTGCTGTCAGAGCAATACTTCTGAAAGAGAAATCTGGTTGGTTACTGCTGTATTTAAAAGACTTCAAATTATTTTGCCTTCCTGATAAAAATCAAACTCTTGACCATAGCAGATAAGACCTTCCACGAACTATCTTCTGCCCCACAGAACCTTTCTGAACCTAAACCAGTCAACCATTTGTTTCTTCTAGTTTTCTGTGCCTGAAGGATCTCCTCTTCTAATCTGCCTGCTAAACTTCTATCTCTATTAAGGTTTGTTCTATTTCAAATTTTCCTCAACTTCTCCCTGCTACTCCAGTCTAGTTGGATGTTCTTAGTATCCTGTCTGTATTCTGCACTTTTTCATATGGAGTTATCGCACCCACTGGTTAGTAAACAACCTGTGTTTGTGTTCCAAGTTCCAACATAGTAGAGTAGAAGCTGGTTATGCCATCATAACCACAGAAAAGAAGTTTACACAGGGAATTGTTTAAAAAGAAGAAAGATTCATATATGAAAAACCTTGAGCACTTCAAGCTAAGACATAAAGATGTATATTCACCTATTTTTAAATTGAAATTAAGGATGTTTTCTTTAAATGTTGTTTTTTTTTATTGGAATTTGTTACTTTTCTTCCATAAAGATACTCTAGTATATCATATGATCTCCAGTTTCTGTTTCATTTAATTAGAAATTGAAAAAGTAGAAATTAATCAGAGCAGGGTCCCTCTAAATTTTAACTTCTAGTCTTTTTACTTTATCTTTTAAATATATTAACATCATAAAGGCATTGTTTTTCCAGTGATTAGTATATATAAAGTCAAAAGCATTCAATTTAGTTTTTGTTAAGAAGTTAGTGTTTTTATGTGTGTATTTTTTGATTCATTTTTAATTAAGTAACATAAATATAACATGCATCCCTATCAAAAACTAGTTTGAGAACAGCACGACTGATTTTTTTAAGGATGTATTTATTAACTTATTTGAAAGCCAGAGTTACAGAGAGGCATAGGGAGGGAGAGAGAGAGAGAGAGGTCTTCCATCTGCTGGTTCACTCCCCAAATGGCCACAACGGCTTTAGCTGAGCCAATCTGAAGCCAGGAGCCAGGAGCTTCTTCTGGGTATCCCATGCACGTGCAGGGGCCCAAGTCATCTTTCACTGCTTTCTCAGGCCATAGCAGAGAGCTGGATTGGAAGTGGAGCAGCCAGGACTCAAACAAGTGCCCAAATGTAATGCCAGCATCTCAAGCTGGGTCTTTAACCCTCTGTGCCACAGCACTGGCCCTGATTTTTAAGTGTATTTATTTATTTGAGAGACGCAGAGAAGGGGGAAATTCCATCTGCTGGTTCACTCCCCAAATGCCTACAAAGGTGTGTCTGAGATAGGCTAGGAGCGAAGAACTCAACCCAGTTCTCCCACATGGCAGGAACCCAACTAGTTGGGCCCTCACTGCTATCTCCCAGTTTCTGCATTAATAAGAAACTGGATTCGGGAGCCTGTGCTGTGTATCAAACCCTGGCACTCTGACATGGATTATAGATGTCATATAACCTGTGTCTTAACTGCTAGCCCAAACACCCACCCTAGCACAAATGATTTTTGGTAAGCATATAACTCAACTAGTGGTTGCTGATGTATATGAACCTGTTGAAGTATATCTCCACCATTTGTCAACTGAGTGTCAACAGATGGGTTTTAGAGAAAAAAAGAGAACATCAATTAATCCCATGAGTTAGTTAAATTGAGGTTTCAGGGTTTTGATATAGATTAAGCAATTGGTTGCTGTTGTAATTTTTTTAATAATTAATTTATTTCTTTGAAAAGCACAGTTTCAGAGAGGGAGGGATGGGGAGAGAGAGAGAGAGAGAGAGAGAAAGAGAGGGAGAGAGGGAGAGAGAGAATCTTCCATCTCTTGGTTCATTCCCCAAATGGCTGCAACAGCCGGAGCTGGGCTGATCTGAAGTCAGGAGCCAGGAAATTCTTCTGGGTCTCCTATGCAGGTGTAGGGTCCTAAGGACTTGAGCCACCTTCCACTGCTCTCCCAGGCCATAGTAGAGAGCTGGATTGAAAGTGGAGCAGCCAGGTCTCTAACTGCCCATATGGGATGCTGGCACTGCAGGCGGTAGTTATACCTGATATGGCACAGTGCCATCCCCACTGTTGTAATTTTTTTGTAACTGATTTTTACAATTTTACTCATTTTGATATGAGGGAGCAATTTTGGGAGTCACAGTTAACTTTACATTTTTGATTTTTTAAATTTGTACTCTAGTTAAAAAGATTTGAAGATGCTTATAGTAAAAGGCAAATACAAGTTTTATATATGCAAACATTTTCCAGACTCTTCCAATTATATCAATTTAAAAGGTATTCCTATAAAAAGTGAATTGTTTTTAAATGATTGTGTGCTAACATGCATGATGGTACAAACTAACCGGTAAATTACTGTATTGAAAGTATTGAAAGTATTGAAAGGCATAGTCAATCCCTGTGGTATGCTACTTAGAGAAGTTATAAAAGCATTTTTTCTAAAAATATTAGTTAGCTTTTTAAAATGTTTTATTTCTCTTCTTTCCTCTCTTCACCTTCTTCTCAGTGTTTTTGTTAGAAACTTTTCTCCTTAAGATATGTGATTATGGCATAAGGCGGCTGATTTAAGCATCTGTTTATCATGCCTGGCTAGACTGAATGTAAAATTTCAATTGAATTACCTCCCAAGAGAGCTTTGAGCTCTTAGGGTAAAACACATCATTTTCTCTTCTTTCCCCTGGGAGTGTCAGCAGAAAGAACTCATCTAAATAGTTTACATGCATTTTGAAAATGTTGTATCTACTGGACTTAGCTTTGTTGTTTGTGGAACATCGCCAATATAAATGGAGTATCTACTTTGCTTGTTAACTCAAGTACAATAGTGTTATATGGTATTACAATATGTGTTTAAGTTGTAGCTGAGTGACTTCTGCTGATAGTTAATTTATAATCAGTTTTCATATTAAATATATTTTCCTCTTAAAAATTTAATTTCAAAACTCAGATGTTTAATCACTTATAATTAAACATTTATTGAGCAATTATTATGTAGATACCCATATATATTATGAAATGCAGATACATATTGTGAATACTTACCTTGCCCCTGTGTACCTTTTTTTTAATCTCAAGATTGACTTTATTTCCCAATAAGCACAGCTACTTATGTATTTGTTCATAAATGCAAGTACATCATGCACTGAAAAACTTTTTTTTAGGAACTGCTCATCCCCACTTTAGACAACTAATAGTATCATTTCTCAGCAGAAAAGGCCGCACCAACTACAAGGCTTTTTTATTTTTCTTTACCACATGAAAATGTTTTCAGCAACACGTGTACTTTTATCTGTGTTTTAAATTTTTATTTGCTTTTATTTAATTGAAAAGGCAGTGAGACAGAGTCAGAGACACAGAGACGGTGCTCCCATTTGCTGTTTTATTCTCCAAATGCCTGCAACAGCCAGAGCTGAACAAGATCAAAGCCAAGAGCTGGGAATTGATCTCGACTTCCAGTGTGGGTGGCAAGGACCCAACTTCTTGAGCCATTACCTGCCTCCTCTTAGGTGTACATAGCAGGAAGCTGGAGTTGCAAGCAACCTGGGCACCCCAAATGTGAGATCTGGGTGTTCCAAGCAGCATTTTAGCTGCTACACCAAATGCCCCACCATAAGAAATAAATTACTGAACAAACTTAAAATATCTGTAAGCAAATTTACTATAGACTGTAGGTCGTACTTAGCATGAGTGATGTCCTGAGGACCTTTCAATTTCATGTAATGTATATACATATATTTTTTCCAAATAAGAAAGCACTGTAAATGTAATTTTCTTTGTTCTACTTTGTTACATAAATTTTGAAAATATAATCAAAAAGCTGAAAAACTGAAGGAAACATGATTGGTTGCTTTGATTTTTTTATTTTTCTTCTGTTACAACAAAAATGATAAATTCTAAAGCCACATATAGCATTTTGTAACTTTTTAATGTATTAAAATATTAAATCTTAGCCTGGTAGAATGGAATATATTGCCAGGTTATTAAAATGAACATATTTATCTCTGATTATCACTTATGTAAATTTAGAATGTTTTTTAAAACATTATTTCTTACAAAATCCCTGCAGTATATGAAGGGGCTTCAAAAAGTTCATGGAAAGTTCGTTTTATGAAAAACCTACATGCGTGGATTTCACGGGTTTATTTTTTTTGCATCAAAACACACTTTGTTTATGTTTTATTTTTCTACAGCCTTCTTGAAGTGTCCTTGAATAGCTATGGGTTGATGGGTCAGTTTACTTGTTCACCTCTCAAAGAATCTGTAATAGAAATAAATCTTTATTGTGTCAGTGTATTTTATTAAAATTTATTTTATAAAGGGTTTCAAAATACAATCTGAGTATTTTGATTTGTAGTGATAAGTTAGAATAGGGTTATACTGCAAGAAAGTACTTAATGGGGCCGCCATTGTGGCATAGTGGGTAAAGCCACTGTCTGTGACACCAGCACTCCCTGTTGGCACCAGTTCAAGTCCCAGCTGCTTTACCTCTGATCCATCTCCCTGCTAATGTACCTGGGAAGGCAGCAGAGGATGGCCCAAATACTTAGGCTCCTACACCCACTTGGGTGACCTGGAAGAAGCTCTTGTCTCCTGGCTTCAGTCTGTCCCAGTCTAGGCCATTGCAGCCATTTGGGGAGTGGACCAGCAGATGGAACATCTCTCTCTCTCTCTCTCTCTCTCTGTAACCCTGCCTTTCAAGTAGATAAAACAAATCTTTTTAAAAAAATGATATGCTGGGACTGGTCCTGTGGCATAGTGGGTGAATCTGCCGCCTGCAGTGCTGGCATTCCATGTGGGCGCTGGTTCGAGATCTGGCTGCTCCACTTCCAGTCCGGCTCTCTGCTATGGCCTGGGAAAGCAGTAGAAGATGGCCTAAGTCCTTGGGCTCCTGCACCCGCGTGGGAAACCTGGAGGAGGCTCCTGGCTCCTGGCTTTGGATTAGCACAGCTCCGGC